CTGTTTCTGGAAAAAAGCCAGGGTATCAGTTTCGGTCACAAGGCTGGTCATCTTCTTCCAGTCCAAACAACCGTTATTGTAAGAAAGTGCCTTATATTCTCGGTTTTAAACACCCTTCTCTTTAATACAAGCATGGTGAAATAAACAAGTGCCCCTTAAAGTGCACAGTCTGGACATCTGTGATTTTGAAACCAAAACGGTGACACTCCCAACTCAACAATGACAATCAAAGTGATTTTCATAATGTCTCTTGGCCTGTAAAGCAGGACTGTACACCTCTGATTTTCTGGATTCAGGCATGTCTACAAACTAAGTGGCCCACAGTAAAGTATGGCTTTGTGACTCTCACTGGAATCAGCTGTACTTCAGATCCTATCAAGTACAGTCAACCATTTCTGCAGACATGGAAAACCAAGACAGATTGTCCTCCAGGATTTACGCCCCACCCAAAGGAATGATCCCCTTCAATTAACAGAATAATACTGCTCCACCCAAAGTTCATTGGGTTGAACAGTGGACATCTGGTACACCTGGATATACTGTACAGCAGCATATAAGTGAACTTCTGACTCTCTGTTGATGCCAGATGTTTGAGCTGATTACTGACAGCTCATGATCTGAAGGGATGTCAGGCCTGTACTGGACAAAGAATTGTTAAGGACAGTCCTAGGTGTGTTTCCAATCCACAGATCTTGCAATTACCCTGGGACTCCAATTACCCAATCAGCACCCATGGTACACAGGCTTGTAGCGTATGGGAGAAATATTCAGGCAGCTTGTCAATAATCCAAGAGCAACAACGAAGGACTCACCCTCACCTATTTCTCAGGCTATTGTCTACTTTAAACTTGACTGTCCTGCTCTGAATCAGTCAATATTGACACTTTGTAATTAGTGAAACAGGTGCTTTTTAATGCTAAGTACAACAAAGTGTGCGCGTACTCCGCCCTTTCCAGCAGAGCAGGTCTGAGAACGTGCCGACGTAAGCAGCTCTCAGTTTTGGTTGTATGCTCACACACATCTTACCGATGATGAATGCAGTATCAACAGCCTTAATGAAAACGCCTTTGACTGCATGTATCAGGAACTGCTTGGGACGTATTGGCATCCTTTTCAGCCAAGGACCCAACCCTGCTGCAATACATTTTAGACCTCTCTTACTACTTAATTTGAAGCTCAGCGGTTTTCTATCCTCGCCACAGCGGTCACACACTTTTTCCCCACACTCCGAACGTTTTAAGCAAGATTTCAGATGCTCGGTCACGGCCAGACCTTCTATCCATCAGGACGCCGCGCTGCACCGCTCAACAAACACCAGCTTGGGGAAAAAAAAAACAGCACACTTACTGCAACGGTGGCTCTGAGCCCCTTAAATCCCTTTCTTTGGCTCGGAGGGCAAGATGTGCACACTCCAAGAAGCACAGAACATTCTGCTGGCCTCGATAAAACTTGACAGGGAAAACCGAAGAGCAGCCTTGCAAAACGTGGGAAAGCCATGATCCGTCACACGTGGCGCTTATTGTCAGAAACTGCCCTCGACTAATAGACACCATGCCGGAGGCAAACACTGCTAGAAACTGCAGACACACATGCATCTACGAACATCCACTTCAGTTCCAGATGTTTGATGTGCAATATTAAGCGCTATGCGTACTCTATAGGTACTGTTCCACTGGTACCACTAGTAAAGGGATGTGTGATGAAACACTCAGCACGAGGGGGTCAGAGCACCTGCTTCCAGCTGAACAACACGGTCCCCTGCAGCACAGAGCGTCGGCCTGACCAGCATACAGAGCAGCCTGCACTCCAACACCAGGCGCGGAGTCCAGATGGGAAAATCACAGCACGGGCCACAACAACAACACCCCTGTTGTGTCCTTTTCAACACTCCGAGGTCCTTCGCCACGACAGACCGTAGCCCGAGTGACAGATTAACAAGAGGCACAGAAAGCCAAGTGACACCCAATGTGCACACCTACACTTGGTTCCTTAATGGTGACAAGGCCGAGTCGCACTTTTCCTTCCTTTCTTGCTTGCTTGCTTGCTTGCTTGCTTTAAAGCCTCCCGTTTCCGATAAAACATTAATTAAAATAATCCGTAACTCTCTGAATTTATGAACAAAAGCTGTCGATAAGTGAAAACAAATTACACAGCCACTCCAGTCTAGACTCACTGGACCTGTATTTCTGATGCAATAAGAGTGTTACAGACCTATGGGCTAGAAATCCAAAAAACGGAGTCTTGCGAACAGCAGGTCGATGTCACGACCCACGTGAACTCCTGCGCTGACGTCTGCTCAGGCTGCATTTCCGGACGGAGGGAGGAGTGGGGGGGCCTCGGACAGACGCAAACACGGCTACGCTCCGCGGGCACGGAGAACACACCGGCTCGGGCCCCCCCGTGATCCGAAGGGACGGACAGCGGGAAGAGCCTGTGGTGCCAATAATCACAGCTCAGCACACACAGAGCTGCTGGGCCTCCCTGCAATTCCCCTGCAATTCCCCTGCATGAACCTGCACCAGCTCGAGGTCCCATTCCTTTCTTTGCAGAAAGCCTGTCCTTGCTTCATCATAATATAGCAGCTGTGAAGGCTACAGTGTTCTGAGGCTGCCGGGTGTCATAATCAGCAGATCATTTGCTTAGGGAAAAAAAAGGCAGCTCAAAATATGACATTGCATCACATGACACAATGGGGTGAGCCTGGTTTTCTCAACCCTGGTACTGTATGAGCAGATCACATAATTACCAAGGCTTCTTGAACAATAAACTGATTTGTAAATCAGGTGTTTTGTTAACAGCTCTCTCCCTCACTTCTCAGTTCAGGAAATCCCAGCTTTAGCTGCAATGCTGCCAAGACACTGAGCCAGCCGAAAGCTCAATGGTCTGTCGTCCTCTTGTTTCGGAAAACACAGAGGCACAAGAGAGAGGTGACAAAGGAGAAGCGCTCTACGGCCCATCGTGCCCGTTCAGTAATTAACACTTAATTGATCCCCGCATCTCATTCGGGTGTTAATTGATCCCAGGCTTCTACGCGGTAGCCAGGGTATCGACACATCCCATAATGTGTCTGGGAAGCTTGTTCCACGCTCCCACCACCCTCTGGGTAAAGAAGCGACTCCCTTTCTCGGTTTTGAGGACTGGAGAGATCTGCGTCAGGTCCCCCAACATGCAGGGGGAAATCAGAGATTCACGTTCTATGCTGCAAGTAGGGAAAAGTGAGGTACGCGGCAGCCGATCACTGGACAGACTGGGAGCTCGGAGGGTATCAGGGCAACTGTAAGGGGTGTTTAGGCAAGGGCAGCCAAGGACACGCTTTCACATTCTGCTGAAAATGAATGTTTAGAAACGATGCTAGTTTCAGGAACCTTTGCTACCAGGAAAAAAAAAAGACACTGGCCTTGCCTCATCCAGACATTTCGGAAATCCATAAAAACACTGGTTCTCAAACGCTTAACACATCGAAATCAAGTATAAAGGTGTCACCCTATTTAGCAATACATACCCCCGACACTACGGGATTTAAAATGTATACAACTGGTATGCTGCTGCGTTTTCAATCCACAACCAACGAAGAGCTTCATGCTGACCGTGTTGAACAGCTCAGCCGGCTGCAGACTCGACTGGGATCTTGATCACAGCGAGCGCATCCACACAGCTGAACCTTCACCGGCAGCTCCGGTTGGGCTGGGCTCCCCCGAGGCGCAGCGGCGGAGAGGCGAAGACCGAGATTTTGTATATTTGCCTAGCGCGTTTTACAGGTAGATTGCGTTCTTGTTGTCGGCACTGCTACGCTGTCGTATATTGTCACACACACACAACACGGGGTCTTTCCTTCCAGACGTCCTGAACGAACTGCAGCTCCTTGTGGTTCGAACTCGCAGCGGCTGTAGCTCAGGGGAGCGGCGCTCCTGGCTCTGACCTACAACAGGTCAGAGGTGTGAAGTTTTGCCCCCGACAGAGCTTTCGCCCACTTCTCCTGCCCTCACAGACAGGGAAGCGCACGTTTCTACAGACAGCTAGCGTCACATATTCTGTAGCTACGCGGAAAAAAAAAGTCTTTCACCATTAAGGCACCGTGCTTGATTTTGCATTTTAATATCAATTTCAAACCGGCTGACGAAGTAAAACAACAACAAAAAGGCACACCTCGAAAATCTAGACAGCGCTTTCGTAACTTCACTAGCTCTCAGAACTGCACGTTTTTAAACCGGACTGCGATTCAGTCAAACGTAGATGTTAAGCTCGAGTCGGACTACTTGCAAAACAACAAAAAAAAAAAGAGACTGTGCTCACAAAGTCAGCAGCACGTCGTCTTCCACACGTTTGGTTGCCCGTTGAGAAACAAACCTGCATCGCCTGCTTACACGGTGCTCTTGAGTCCTGTTTCAATGCCACGGTGCACAAGCGCATGATGATAGTGATGATGATGATGATGTTTGAACCTTTCACTTGGTTCTGGAAAGTTTTCTTCCCGGATTTCCTGAAACTTGTATCGCACTGCATTCGAACCGTTTCCTCGTTCGAATACGTGGCCTGTCCTTCGCCGACAAAAAAGACACGTCTTGAGCCCCGCACAGCCCTGCACAGCCTCGCCGTGCATCTGAGCGCAGCCTGCGCCCGGACACCACCCGCACAGCCACACGGGGCAACCGGGGTGCGGGTGGTGGGGTCGAGTCGGTGGAACAAAAGTCGCAAGAAGCGCCTTCCGAGCGGCGGGCAGCCTCCGGGAAGCCCGCACTCACAAGGCGAGGGGGAGCAGCCAGCCTCCGCCGGCTCCGGCTCCGGCTCGGAGCCCGCAAGGAGCTCAGCGCGGCAGGGCGACACGGCCAGGGAGTGAGACAAGCACGGCTTCTCACCTGGACAGCGGGCAGACCCGCCGCTCTCTCGGCGATCTCCGGCGAGCTCTCCAACACCCGGTCCCGGTACAGGGACCACAAGCCCACGTTCGGCAGGAACAGCAGAGCCGCCAACAGCAGCCCGGCGAACTTGAGCAACCTCTTCTCCTTCCGTCTCATCTTCTCTTCCAGCTGCTGGGTAAAGGGGGGAGGGCGACGGGCTCCGACGGCGCTCCTGCGGACTCGGTCCAGGTACAGACAACTTTCTCTCCGAGGCACAGCTGATCTATCTGCGGGCACTTCCGCTAGGGGGAGCGAACCACTGTCCGCGCCGGGGGAGTTCCAGGGTAACCCTGCCTCCCCGGCAGGGACGGCGAAACGCACATTGCCGATTTTAACCCCCCCCCTCTCCCACCACGGGGGCTCCTCTTGTCGGTCGTGCGTCGCAGTGCCACAGCGCGACGGGCTGGGGCCGCGTTGCCGCCGTGACCCGCGGCAGGGCGACGCCGCGCTCCTCGAAAAGCCCCCTGCAGACGAGCCGCCGAATGGAACCGGTCGCCTTTGACAAAGTTGCTCGCTCGCGGTTACAGGTTACCGCCGGGCGCCCGTGTCCGGCACCGGCGTGGAGCTCGGCGCACGCGTGGCGTGTTCACACGCCGTGTCCGGGGCTCGTCTTTGCTAAAACGCCCTGTACTTCCTGCTGTTCTACACCGGGTTTGACATGCATTCGTATGATAGAAAAGGGGGAAAAACCTAGCGATTGACGCAAGGTTCAAGGATAAAGATACAAAAAACACTTAAGTATGAATACATGGTGAATCTTCCCGACTAAACTTGTATTATTATTATTATTATTATTATTATTATTATTATTATTATTATTATTATTATGTAACGTATGGCCAGTAAAACGAATGAAATAAACCTTTCCTGTACTTTTTAGGTCCTCCGAGTGAAGACCTGCCCTGCCGGGGGAAAAAAAAACCCAACAACCTTCAGCTGAAATAACAACTGACCTCTGACTGGGGACAGAGGGGTTCAAAGTGTAGGTCACATACATTTCACGGTGTTGGTTAATGTGGCCTCCTGGAGAGTTCAATCTGTCCACAGCACGATTACATTCTTACACAAGTTGGTTTTCGCGTCCTGGGTTTCCTGACTACAGCTCGGCGGCAGAGTTCAAGAACATTTCCTGCGCTGCCCCACAAGGTGTCGCTTATTCAGTGCTTGGGGATGCACAATTTCATATTTAAAAAATACTTTTTGTTATCGAATAAATGTAAAACAATTGTAATATTCCTATTTAATTGTGTTTTTTTAAATAGCTCCTCAATGTAACGTTACTCGACGGCCATCGATTTAGATACATGCGCAGTAGAATACATATAAAATAAATCTAGAAGATATTATCAATGTAAAAATGTTTACATATTTCTTCCTGTCCCAGTTAATATTTTGCAATGTAATAGAGTAACAAGTACAGGTTTATTCCCTGCTGAAAAGAGAAGAAAAGAAACAACGTTTCGGCTGTGGGTGTTTATAATACGGAGTAGGTGTGTGTGTGTACACAGGTGTACACTCACTGGATTAAATATGAGAACTTCAGTCAAATGAATATTGAGTTTCAGGAGCACGAGACGGGCATCTCTCCTCTCCCCAGTCGAGAAAATTCCCGGATCTCAATCCGACTGGACGCTGGTAGAAGCAGGGCAGCTCAATCCCACTGTACATCACCCTCATCCTCGCCTCAGAGGAAGGCCAGCATGCTTCTGGGACTCACAGGGATCGAGCAAGTTATGGAGTGGGGTTCCTAATATTTTGGCCAGTGTGCATGGTTTTGCACAGAAGTATACAAGTATACACAGCAGCTGTTACAGCGTTTATATACTGTATATGCACTTTACAAGAAATACACTTCAGGGCTGTGGTGTCATTTTTAAGACCATGTAGTTGCTATGAACACTGGCCATGAATGTTAATTAGCCCTGGCTGTTTCACTGTGCTGGGGATTTGTATTTATAAAGTACTGCAAAGTACTTGAAAAAAAAAAAAACGCCTGATCCCTGTTAATTTTTTTCTACCTGCACAATAATAGCTTTCATCCCTCATTCCTTTGTCATGCCCAGGATTCTAGCTGTGCTTTCAGTAAAGCTTGTGATGTAGATGGACTCTGTGCACTGGGTGTACTGAAGTATAAATATTAGTGCGGTTTTAAGGTCAGGCTAGGCTGGGATTCCTATACTTACACGTTCTCCAATGTACTTGCAGGGTGGCACTGTTGGTTAGTGGCGCGGACTATGACCCCACGCGTCCCTGCAAGCCGTGTTTGATAATGGCAGTGCCTGTGTGTTTTGTACTGTACCTATCACTCGGGCATTCACACCCCTCCATTGAACAAAGTGCCAGCTGAAGCACTGGCTGCAAATCTCAGCACAGGCGAACACCATTTATGCAGCATATCTGTATCCTGCCAAAGCTACAACAAGAAACGAGATAACCAGAAATCCTTTTAAAACGTCTTGAAACAAATGATATCTTAATGGTATCAAATTATTCTGCCATGCTCGGCTTCTGCACGCCTACAATTAACTGCTCCATTTCTTGCGGAGATCAGCCTGGCTTCAATTCTCCAGAGGGGCTTCGCTGTAATACCCAGTGACTTCTGTCTGGCACACTTTGTGTTTAAACCCTGCACCCGAGGCCTCGTGACCTCACAGATCCTTCAGTTACAGCTAACAGGCATTCCCTTCATAAAACACCGCCGACTCCGAGTCTCAGTTTAATACCCCAGTGCACACGGACAAAACAGTGAGTTTAATGTGATCATGAATTCGATTATTTACACAGGCAGTTCTTCTACTTCGTATCCCTTTACTGAATTGCTGAAACAGTGGCTCAGTTTCAGTGGAACAGTGGAAGAGTTTGCCCACCTCCTTTCCTGTGGGCTCTTGGAAGTGTTTCACGGCCATGAGCACAAGAAGATGAGACAGCTGACAAATGAGAGTGGGGGCTGCGTGGCTCATCTAGCTCGTTGGGTTGCTAGCACGTAATTGATACAGGGATCCTTTCAAAGAAACAACAACGAAAGAATCCAACAGGAATGGTCAACTTGTTCCAGAACCTCACAACCCTTTGTGTAAAGCAGTGCCCTCTGTTCCGAGTTGTAAATGCACAACCTGCAGCTTTCGCACGTGTCCTCTGGCTGGTGTTTCACTGCTGACTGTGAAGAAGCCCATTGGGTTGACTCTGCTACTCCGATAGTCATCCCTCATTTCTCTCTAGTTGAACACCATTTGACGGTACCCACTGTGGACCAAAAAAGAATCTGACATCTTTTCTTTTTGCTCTTCAATCCCCTTTCACGTTTATTCTTGTACTGCAATCTGTCAGCTCACTGTAATAATGGCTGTGTATTGTTTTGTAATGGATATGCATTACAATGAGTCCTTAAATGTCCATTAGACATGTCAGCTTTGTATAGCACTTAGCCTGCCTGCAGTTCCACGGTTCACTAACTTGAGTGCCAACTGCCTTGGACCGAGGTGTCAGAATAGTGATTAAGTCATAATGCCCTAGTTGTGCATTGCCTTTCTCAATCCTTTGTTTGCTACAGTACATTGTCTCTGTTTTCATGGTTGCTGTGCTGCTGTGTCTGACTACGCTTTTTGTTTTCTTACATAGAATCTGTCTTGTCTACCTTGTTGGCCACATCTCAAGTGAGCAAGGTGCTGCACTATTGTCTACATCAGCTTCATGTCCCAAGCAAGCCTTTCACTGTTTAGCTCTCACAATTGCCTCCAGAACAATCTGCCAAAAAGCGACCGTAGCTTAGTGAGCCCAGGTCTGTGGCCATGCCCCTGGAGTTTTCCCCAGGAGGACCTGATACAGATCAGTGCTG